TTCCTTCTCCTTTTTCCAAGCTAGTAGGTGGACGGCTGCTGGAGACCGCTCTGTCCCTTGTGATCTTGTACTGGACAGGAAATTTAGGGAAGCCGAGCTGAGAGAATTGAAACTGTTTGGAAACATGATGACTAAAAGTGCTTGGTTAAAAATATAAATACTTTGCTGGGCAATGTATATTTGTTTCGATCTGGCTTCATTATTTTAAAAATGTTTGAGAGTTTAATACTCCTTTAACCCCTTCATGACTGAGCTTGTTTTTGGTTTCTGTTCGTAAATGACTGACACACTTTTGACATATTTTTGCTGTGTGATTCTTCCACGTCAGTAATATACTTTCTTACAAAGTGCACCCACACATATTATATATTGTTTTTTAGAGGACAGATAGGGCTATAACATTTATTTGTCCCTTATTTTTTATTTTTTACACTTTTCACTAATTTTTTTTTTTTTACACTTTTCTTTTTACACTTTTCACTTTTTTTTAAACCTAAAAATGTTATTTTATTTATTATATCAAGCAGTCATTGTGAATTAATCTCACTATTACTGCTTGATAAATTTAATACATTTTTGGTTATTATCAGGCTGCTTCAAACTTCAGAACAGTTAGTGACACTGATCCTGCAGCAGTTCAGGATTCAGCCGTCACTAAAGGTTTTCTGATTGTTGCAACAACGATCAGCAAACGGAAACATTCTTCTTTCAGGAATAGATACATTGTGTGTCTATTTCTGAAAGTCAAAGATTTAAAAAAAAGCCAGTATAGCTTGAGAGAGATATCTCTCTCGATCTATACGAGCTGTCAGAATGCCGTGTGTCCGCTCTGCTGTGACTCTCAGACACCCGATATTAAGGTATCGGGTGTCTGAAAAAGGTTAACCCTTTCATTAATGGATGCCTAGATAGACATCCATTACTGAATGGTAACCGCTGATTACCAGCCTTCTAGTGCAGCAAATAACTCATCACGTGCATTGTACGTGACGAGTCATTTGGTCCCTTTGTGGCGGGACGTACAGTGTACGTCTCCCGTCACGAAGGGGTTAAAGGTTAAGTTCACATTTTGTGGCCATGTTTTATTTTACATCCATTTTTCGGGTGTAACCTGGAAGATGGTCAGAATGCAGACCCTCCTCTTCCCTCCCATATATCTAGATCCTGGGTTTTTTATTCCCGCAGGCTGCCCCAGTGGTTTGAAATTGGCGCGGCTCTGTGTGGCTCCTCCCCCCCCCAGCTGTGTCACCCATTCATAGATCCTTTGATTGGATCTGTGAATGGAGATATTACATGTCCCATCAGCCACTGCGGCAGAAGGTCACTGCACTTGTAGTCCATTGACACTTCTTCCCATCCCTGTTATTGGATGTCCGTAGCACATTACGGACATGGACGGGAGGAACAGCCTGCAGGAGGCAGAGCATTGCACAAGCAATCCACTAAAACCGGATATCGGAGCCAGCTCCCAGGGGTCCAGCAAAATCTGCCGGAAACTAAAACTTTGAAACATCATGAAACTGAATCCATTGTAAGTGATTTCATCAGCATTTGACTTCATATCACTTTAATGTTTTATTTGTCAGTACTCCAGTTGTTCTATGGATCTATTTTTTTTGGCATTGTTTAAAAAAAGGTCTGTTACACGGAAGTTCTGTCATAGACTACTAATCCTTTGAATTAAATGTGCTTGTTTTATTGAGACGTACAGGTATGTCCATGGTCATCCGAATCAACAGGGTGTCTGAAGTCAGAGACCTGCTAATCTCTCCAAGAGCAACCCAAAATAACTGATACTAGGTTTTATTTGAAGAATATCTAAACTCAACAACAAAAATGACAAAGTTCCTAAAATAGCTGCCTTCTGCGCTCCACCTGTCTTAAAAGTGAAATCTAAATAAAGCAGCTGGTGCAAAAAAATAATGAATCATACATGAAACAACAAATATTTGTATATAGTCTCTCTCCCCCCCTCTCTTTCTCTTCCTCTCCCTCCCTTTCTCTCTCTTCCTTGGATAAGTATCTGGTATCTGCTTGTATTTCTCAGCATTGAGGACACTATTGATCCTGACCAAATCTCCAACTCCATTGGAAAAAATGCAGTCCCAGCCTTGCAGGGAACCTCCACCATGCTTCACGGTTGCCTGCAGACACTCATTATTGTACTGCTCTCCGGCCCTTCAGCGAACAAACTGCCTCCTGGTACAGCCAAATGTTTTACATTTTGGCTCATCAGCCCAGAGTACCTGCTGCCATTTTTCTGCACCCCAGTTCCTATGTTTTTGTGCAATGTTAAGTCGCTTAGCCTTGTTTCCACTTCGGAGGTATGGCTTTTTGGCCGCAAGGCCGCAGAAAAATGGCAGCAGGTGCTCTGTAAGGCCCCGTTCACATTGAGCGATTTATCGTGCGGTAATTCCCGCGATATCGCGGCAATTTACCGCGCGATATCGCTCTCCAATGCTTCTCAATGGGGCAAAGGGTCCTGCTGTCGCGGGTCGTGCGTCGCTACAGCAGGACCCTTTTTGGAGAGGATTTAGCCGCGATTCAAGCTTGCTTAATGCGCAAAAGCTTGATATCGCGCAAAATGCAAATCGCACGACAAACCGCTCAATGTGAACGGGGCCTAAAGCTGCAAAACTGTACAAATTTGAAACATTTGGCAGTAGCAGGAGGCAGTTTGTTCACCGCAGGGCTAGAGAGCGGTACAATAATGAGCGTCTGCAGCAACAGTGAAGGCATTCTAGCACTGTGGAGCAATTCATCATCAAAGTTCAAAACAGAAGCACTGAAGTTGTCTAAGTCTGCTCTCTCAACAACTTGACCCTGTAGTTTGCCCGTTTGTCCTTCTGGACCATGACAAATGGCCCAAGTACACTAGATTATTCCAAGTAAATTAACACTATATTTCTATCAACACTTAGTAGAGGTATTTCCATCGAGCAGATTTGAGATAAAAATAGAATTTGGGTATGCTTTCTACCAGGATATAGAGGGACTCTCTGGAATACTTAATTGGTCAACCGAAAACTAAAAGAACAAGTCTGTCAGACCCTATGAAATAAGACACAATACACAGATTGTAGGTAATAACATTTCTGTCTTCACTAAATATTTTTTTTCTGTGATGTTGTAAGAGTAATTTCAAATAACATATGTTACTGGGTACCTTTTTATATCTTTGTTGCGGCAGCATTGATATAAGGTCCGTGATTACAGGCTAGTATTCAGAATATCTAATAGAACCAGCAATGTTATGTAATGCTGCTTATCAAAATGTAAATTGTGATACTGAGGAGTCTTTATACTATCTTATGTCATGTACTTGAATACTGAGCTGTGTAATATACTGTACATATGTCTATGCCTTTTTTTCCACAAGGTATTATTATTGGTAGGAACATTTGTTTACAAAAAAATATGTATTAAGTTGGGTGTAGAAGTTCAATGAAAGCAAGTGAAGCTCAATATCAGACCTTTTCTGAGGTAGTGGAGTATAATAAGCAATGATGAGTGTTCAGTAGCACACAGGTAGATTTTCCAACTTGATAGAAAGTTTTGTTATGAGGCCCCAATCCTGTACTCTTCTACAAAGAGGAGTGTAGAATCTATAGGACCATGTGTGCTACTGACAAGCATCAGATGAGCTGACTACAATGATGATGGCAGTTCTCTCTATATATGACCAGATTTAAAAGGAAATCTGTCATGATAAAATATGGGAGGTGCCATTGCTGACTTGTTTTTGAAGGTGGAGGCTCCAGTACTGTCATCTTTATACTGGTTTCACTGCTCAGTCACTGACCTTAAATAAGTATGTAAATTTTTGGTATACCCAACACCTAGTATGCATATGCTTGTGCCAGGCCAGGCCAGTGACTTACCTAACGGTAACGGAAAGGTTAAAATATGACCTTCACTGAATCTGCATGTTCAAATAAATAAATAAAAATGTTAATTATGGAATCTTCCATATTTTTATCCTGACAGATCAATTTAAAGGTCCATTACAATTGTACACTAGTATTAAAACATTGATGTATAAATAAATGTTCAGTAATTTGTTGTTTATTATTATTAATTATATTATTATTATTATTATTATACAGGATTTTGTATAGTGCCAAGTTGAAAAAAAATAGAATCAGTGTAAATATTGAAAGAGCAATGTAATACAAATATGAATTGTTAGGGAGCGTACCTGGCTCCTGGAATTTGTCCAGCACTGGTTTAAAGGAGAACTATGGGGTCATGGCTTTTCCCCATAGTTCTCCTTAGGGTAACGGGAGGACACAAACTAGCGCCCTCCCGTTACCGTAAGCTCAGTACACCACGAGCTACAGCTCGCGGCATACTGAGACGCCGGAGCGGATCCCGACATCGATGCCGAGATCCGCCCAGCTGCGTGAGTGACAGCTGGCTCTGCCTATCTAGAGGCAGAGCCAGCTGTACCCTCCCCCGTCCGTTCCGCCAGTCAGCGCTGGCGGATCGGAGGGGGGAATCCAGCCCCTCCCCTGTCACAGCAGAGAGCCGTGACAGGATCGAGAGGTGAGCGAACGCCGGTATCTGTTCGCTCACCTCCCGATCTACTGAGCCGACCTGTGACAGTTTCATTGTCACAGGTCGGCTAGAACTATGAGGTGAGTGGAAATCACTCATCTCATAGTTCTCCTTTAAGCTGTTTTGAGGGATAGCATCTAACATATTATAACATATTATAACATACTGAAAAACAAGGTTATATATAGTGAACAAAGTCTATTTGTTACATATATTGGTAATTTGACTCTTCTTCTTGTTTAAAATTGTAGTAACTTGATTACATAAGGTGTTTTTCCTTTATAGATACAGTGGTTCTTTATGAACAGTAGAGTGTTGGGTCATGAGTTCAGTGCAGGGATGATGTAATCCTGACAAGGAGGATTCCCTGTGGGAGATATCCATTCAGCTAGGCTACCCCTGATCTTGTGTCTTTTGTTGTCTGTCTTCTTTGCTGATTATAGCAACTCCACTCCAGCGTGAGGACGGGGAACCTGGAAACCTGCTTACGTCTGCTGTCTCTTGGGGCACAAGCCAATTTCTTCCACCCGGTAATCACTCCTCTCATATTACTGTGTAATCTGACTGCTGTTTTTTGACAGTTCTGAGTCCCATTTAGTTACCTGACCTCGAGTGATTATCCCTCATTCTCAGTGACCTGCTTAGTTTCACTTTGGACCATGTTTTACATACACACTATAGTTTAGCCACCCATTCATGGCCTGGTATTAATTGTGATGCCCTTTGCAACTGACCCATCTAACACTTGTGATAATTAGACAGCAAAGGTATTGAAAGGAAGCAATAACATGCACATATATGTTTATTATCCATCTCTATATGAAGGAAGTAGGATGCTCCATTTATTAATGCATATCTAAACCTTAAAGTAGTATTAAAAGCTGGGCGTTTTTTACCTTTATGCATTCTATGCATTAAGGTAAAAACCACCCAGTACCTTTTTGACTCCCCCCGTCCTCCCCCCACACTTACCTGTTAACGCCGATTGTCACCGCCACCGGTCCCCGAAGCAATCCTCCATCCCAAACCTCCTGGTTGCAGGGGAGGACACTGAGGGCAGGGGAGCCATAGGCTCCTTTTGCCATCAGTCAAACTGTAGGGTGGAGAGGAGGGGGGGTGGCCTGTAGTAGGGCTGTGTGTGTCTATGGACGCACACAGCTACTGTGGGCTCGGCTGGGAACGCACACGCACAGGTGCTTCCACAGCAGCCGCTTATCTGCTAGCGGCACCCGTGCAGAGGGCAGGGGAACAGAGGATGCAGGGACCGACTAGAAAACGAGGAATTGAGAAATTATTTAAAAATATGAAGACGGCTTCCTACTGATAAATAAAAAACCTAAAGCTTTAATATCACTTTAAAAATAAAAATGTAATATATTGCAGCTTTTTAGTCCTTGTGGGGGTGGTTGCAGCTTTTAAGTCCTTAGGGGAGGTAGGTTTAGAGGGTCAAGTGAAGACCTTCTGAAACTGCCCCCTGTGTCCCCCAGGTATAGATGGTTTATTTTTTCCAGGAAGATCCTATAAATAATACATTGACTTCCTTAGACTGAGTTTTGTACCTATAACAAGCTGTTATATTTACAAATTGTTGTAGATGCAAGAACATTTTTAACGTAGAAATGTCTTCTCAGAATATGGGGACAAGCTGTTGGCAAGCTGACAAGCTGTTGGCAATTATTTCTGCCATGGTTTGAGCCTTATATATTTGATAAAAAATGTAAACATGAGCAGTTTTGTGAAAGAGTGAATATGATTTGAATTTGCAGCCGAATAGACTGGTAAAGGCAAGTGCCATGTTGTCGTTTTTTAGTCCAACCACACTTAACTACTGAAGACTTCTTTGCACATCCTCACAAAGCTGGCTATTGACATTTGCAGGTCAGATGTATGTGCGTGATCTGTCTGTAGGCACAGCTTGCTCAGGTCCTATAATTGTTTTTGTTTGGACATTGGATGATGGAGGCTAGAGGAATACACAGACAGTCCTGGTACTGTTAAATGGTAAAAGGGGGTTAGTGTAGCAAATGTACAAGGTTTTTTTTTACATGCCTGTTATAAATCATTCAAAAAGGGTCACACAGCATTGTCTTGAGGATGTCCTGTATTCGATCAACACAAATTATTTGGGACACAGTCAGCTAATGCAGCTTCTCAACCTTTTTTTAGCCACAGCACCCTTTTAAGTTTTGCAAAATCTAACATTTCCATAATCAGTAACACGCTTTGTATTTGTAGGAAAAAGGGACCACGCCTCTGCATGTTGCAGCTAAAGCTGGGCAGATCCTACAGGCTGAGCTTCTGGTGGTATATGGAGCTGATCCTGGGGCCCCTGATGTGAATGGCAGAACACCTATTGACTATGGCAGGTATGAAATGGGTCATATACAGAAAACAAAATAAGGGATGTACCTACTGGAAATGTTCTTCATTAATGGTACAGATGCTTTTAACCCCTGCCCACCGTGGGCTGTGCAAACAAACATTCCGATTGTTGAAAAGGCATGTTTTTTTTGCCTTCCATCATGGTCTCCCTCTAATACCTATACTTCTCAAGCAAACAGCTTTTTGTTTTGGATAGCATGAGGAAATCCTGTAACCTTTTGTCAGTTTTTTTTTTTTCTCCATTTATTGCTGCCTGTTGAAATAACGGGCAATGTCTCTAACAGGGACACAGACCGCAATGACCTGACAACTCGACAGAGGTTTGTACTTTCCCGTCTCCATTCAAAAACAAAGATCAACATTAAAGTGTATTTCCACTTTTGCAGCCAAATTGGGATAACACCTATTCTATAGTTGAAAAAATATTTAAACATTTTAGGCACATTTTACTTAAAAATAATTCCTAGCTTCCCCCTACGTAATAAGGAGTGGGTTGGGGAGTTGATGTTTAATACAATTAACTTTGTCTGTACTGTGCTGGCAGGTCTTATCAGTTGTAAACTAGATTTGAAGATGGTTTGTCCTAACAAAGGGTTAAAGATCTCAGGGCTTGGATTCTGCTTTGTATGTTAATGTGCAGAAACTGACTTTGTCCTCATTCGTTCTTCTGAAATTGCTTAAAATAGCCTGCAGTCCTATGTATTATCCTGCTTCACAGAAACCACTAGAAAGGTATGAAATCATTTTGTACATGCGCTATGTGAATGGGAACACATAACAAACATGTGATGGGAGGTTTTCAAACTTGACTGTAAAAGTGGAACTACACTTTAAGCTCTCGTGTAGATGAAATTCAAAGCAAAGATGAAGAGTTGGGATACACTCTTGTTTATAAGTTGACTCAGTTGGCTCATTTTTCACTCTTGTAGCATACTACCTTACTTTTTTCCTTGATTTAAAAGCAGCAGAAACACCACACTGATTGTTGTTCTTTTACATTTACCAATGTCAATTTTTTAGGTACCCTTTTATAGCTTTAAAATACCTCATGCCCTCAAATGCTTAGCCAAGTGTCCCGATACCCATACACCATTGGCCCCCATGTGGCAAAACAAGAAAAAAAAATAATAATTATTTGTCAGGTATAAAGTGCAGGTCACCAGAGGTGCACATACTTGCAAAAGCCTCTGAAACCTCACCTCCTTTGGTCAGATCCCAGGCCATTTTGATGGACAGAGCTCCAATTAGTTCTGATAATGTCGAAACTTGCCTGCCTGTTCATTCCTCTTGTTTATTGGGACAAGCCACTTTCTGAGAGTGATGGAGCTTTGCCAATCAAAAAGGTCCATGATTCGGCCTACGTTTCGGAGTTTACTTGGATCACACATGTTGAGGCTATAATTATTTATTTCTAAAAAACAGGTGGAAATGAATTCATGCTAAATACTATTATGGGTCATTGCTGTGATTTCATGCCTATACATTTCTATCATACAGGCAGGCAGGACACCATGATCTGGCTGACAGATTGGTGGAGTGTCAGTATGAGCTGACAGACAGACTAGCCTTCTACCTGTGTGGAAGAAAGCCAGGTGAGTGCATCGAACCGCTGGCTAAAAGTGATGGTGACTGCCTTTTGCATAGTTTACTGTGAAATAATGTGTTCATAATCATGTAAGGTAAAGGCTGTTTACCTGTGTTTCTTTCTTTTTTTTTAATTTTTTTTTTATTATGTAATGCTTATTTTGGAAGAAAACATATTGTTGCAGACAAGTTTGGGCTTGTGACAACAAAAGAAGCCATTCTAAGACAACATCTGCCGGTTGTAGACCACAATTCAGCTCTTCCCCACCAGGAATTAAAAACTTAGTCTGAGTTGTGGGCTGCTAACTTTCAAACGGGAACCTTCTGGGCCCATTCACACCTCTGTTATAGCATACACCAATCAGCCATAACATTATGACTACTGTGATGGTGGTGAAGTGAATAACATTGATAATCTCCTTACAATGGCACCTTCAAATGGGTGGGATATATTAGGCAGCAAGTGAACATTTTGTCCCTAAAGCTGATGTGTTGGAAGCAGAAAAAAATAAGCAAGTGTAAGGATTCGAGTGACTTTGACAAAAGCCAGATTGTGATGGCTAGATGATTAGGTCAGAGCAACTCCAAAACTGCAGTTCCTGTGGGATGTTCCAGGACTGCAGTGGTCAGGACCTACCAAAAGTGGTCCAATGAAGGAAAACCAGTGAACCGGCAACAAGGTCATGGGCGGCCAAGGCTCATTGATGCTTGTGGGGAGTCAAAACTGGCCCATGTAGTCTGATCCAATGGAAGAGCTACTGTAGCTCAAATTGCTGAAAATGTTAATGTTGGTTTTATAGAAAGGTGCCTGAACACACAGTGCATGGCAGTTTGTTGTGCATAGGACTGCAAAGCTGCAGACTGGTCAGGGTGCCCATGCTGACCCGTGTCCACTGCCAAAAGCGCCGACAATTAGCATGTGAGCATTAGAACTGGACCATGGAGCAATGGAAGAAGGTGGCCTGGTGTGATGGCCGGTTTAGTGTGTGCCACTTACCTAGGGAAGAGATGGCACCAGGATGCACTTTGGGAAGAATGCAAGCTGACGGAGACAGTGATACCTTGGGTCCTGTCATTCATGTGGATGTTCCTTTGACATCTTCCACCTAGCTAAACATTGTTGCTGACCAAGTACACTCCTTCATGGAAAGGGTTTTCCCTGATGGCAGTGGCCTCTTTCAGCAATGCGCTCTGCAAAAATGGTTCAAGAATGTTTTGAGGAACACAACGATGAGTTTAAGGTGTTAACTTGGCCTCCATATTCTACAAATCTCAATCGAATGGAGTATCGCTGGGATGTGGTGGAAAAACAAGCCCGATCCAGAGAGGCCCCACCTCGCAACTCAGTAGTTCTGGATCTTCTACTGACGGCTTGGTGCCAGATATCACAGCATACCTTCGACGGTCTAGCAGAGTCCATGCCTCAGTGGGTCAGGGCTGTTTTAGCGGCAAAAAGGGGAGTACTCAATATTAGACGGGTGCTCATAATGTCATGGCTCATCAGTGTAAATGAATCTTTAATGGACTCTCGGCATTCCTGCCCTTTGCAGCATTGTTCTTCTTCCTACATCTAGAAATCTGTTATGAGCAAACACTGAGACTCGCAGTGCTCTCCTGAAAAAGTTAATTATGGGACTCTCTTCCTTCAGTAATTGGAGACACTGATCCAGAGCAAGTATGCTGATTCAAATCGCCTACTTTTGTGATCTACCTGACTGATCTAGGCCAGGAACTCAAGATTGAAGCCTGTGGACTATAGTGCTCATTTTGGTCTAGGGGCTTGAATAAAGCTGTTTTACTTACCTCTTCCCAGCTCCCACAGCAGTCAGTGCTCATCTCTCTGCCCTCCGCTCTGGCTATGGAATGTCTCTTGGCATTTTCACGTATAAGGAATATAAAGAAATTCTGCGCTATGGAAGCTGTCTCAAAGTGATAAATATCAAATCTAAAAGATGAAAAGCTGCCGTGCTAATAATGATCAAATATAAAAGATGAAAAGCTGCCGTGCTAATAATATAAATTGTTCAATAGATCTGTATAAGTCCTTAGACTGCCGAAGCACAGGGGAGAAGAGTCTTTGGGAACCGTTCTAGCAACTCAGAAGAAGAAAGTACATCTGATCTAGGGCCTGCAATAAAGCAGACTGAGCAGTTGAACTTAACCCTTGCAGGGGCGGTACTGCAAGGGTAAGTTTTTATTCTCCTGCAGTTCTCCTTTAAGTATGGGTTTTCTCCATGGTGTGACAGTTACTGTTCATTGCAAGAAATTTGATTTTTTTTAAATGCTTTTTTTTTTTTTTAGATGACTCCCTTTTAATTAACCGCTAACTGTTCTTTGTCTCTTTATTTTAGATCATAAAAATGGACATTATATAATTCCTCAGATGGCTGACAGGTGATTTAAAGCTGTACCACTCTTCTCTTTATTACTCATTTGTTGAAGGGGTTCTTCACTTTAGGTGAAAAGTGTTTTTTTTGACAGAGACCACATCACATAGTTATTTTCCAGGCAGACGGAACCCAGGGTTATAGTCTCAGGTCAAACTGTGAAAACTGTCATAGCTTTTCAGATGCAACATTGTTCTGTAACCTGTCTTGTATTTTATTGGATGCCCACTGACTGTAGAATGCTGTAGAAAACCATAGAAAAGGGCTTCTGACAGTGCTAGTTAAAGGCGTGGCAGTGGCAAGTACCCCTCCACGTTAATCTAGGAGAAGGCCTGAACCGATGATTCACTAAAATGAAGACCCCATTTATTAATAACATTGTGTATTGACAGTCATGTTATTGATTTGTCCCCAGTAGTCTCTTTTTGTTTGCTTGTTTCAAATGTATTATGTTGATTACATGATATGATTGTTGTAAAACAAAAAAACACATTTATTTAAAAAGGAACGCCATGTAAGTAAAAAGTTAACCTTTGCAATGGGGCTACACCCACACTGCAAGAGTTAACTGCTTGTTTTTCCCTAGGGGCCAAAATACAGAAGATATGCTTTACCTGATCCCCGTTCCTATGGCAGTGACCATCACCTCTCTCCCCCTCCTCTGCAGCTGTGGTATGTTTCTTGGCGTCCTTGAGTCTAATGCAAGTCAATGGAACTACATTAGACGTGATGACATCAGCAGTGCTTAGACAGGTGGAGCCTGGAGAAAAAAATTGTTCAATAGATCTGTATAAGTCCTTAGACTGCCGAAGCACAGGGGAGAAGAGTCTTTGGGAACCGTTCTAGCAACTCAGAAGAAGAAAGTACATCTGATCTAGGGCCTGCAATAAAGCAGACTGAGCAGTTGAACTTAACCCTTGCAGGGGCGGTACTGCAAGGGTAAGTTTTTATTCTCCTGCAGTTCTCCTTTAAGTATGGGTTTTCTCCATGGTGTGACAGTTACTGTTCATTGCAAGAAATTTGATTTTTTTTAAATGCTTTTTTTTTTTTTTAGATGACTCCCTTTTAATTAACCGCTAACTGTTCTTTGTCTCTTTATTTTAGATCATAAAAATGGACATTATATAATTCCTCAGATGGCTGACAGGTGATTTAAAGCTGTACCACTCTTCTCTTTATTACTCATTTGTTGAAGGGGTTCTTCACTTTAGGTGAAAAGTGTTTTTTTTGACAGAGACCACATCACATAGTTATTTTCCAGGCAGACGGAACCCAGGGTTATAGTCTCAGGTCAAACTGTGAAAACTGTCATAGCTTTTCAGATGCAACATTGTTCTGTAACCTGTCTTGTATTTTATTGGATGCCCACTGACTGTAGAATGCTGTAGAAAACCATAGAAAAGGGCTTCTGACAGTGCTAGTTAAAGGCGTGGCAGTGGCAAGTACCCCTCCACGTTAATCTAGGAGAAGGCCTGAACCGATGATTCACTAAAATGAAGACCCCATTTATTAATAACATTGTGTATTGACAGTCATGTTATTGATTTGTCCCCAGTAGTCTCTTTTTGTTTGCTTGTTTCAAATGTATTATGTTGATTACATGATATGATTGTTGTAAAACAAAAAAACACATTTATTTAAAAAGGAACGCCATGTAAGTAAAAAGTTAACCTTTGCAATGGGGCTACACCCACACTGCAAGAGTTAACTGCTTGTTTTTCCCTAGGGGCCAAAATACAGAAGATATGCTTTACCTGATCCCCGTTCCTATGGCAGTGACCATCACCTCTCTCCCCCTCCTCTGCAGCTGTGGTATGTTTCTTGGCGTCCTTGAGTCTAATGCAAGTCAATGGAACTACATTAGACGTGATGACATCAGCAGTGCTTAGACAGGTGGAGCCTGGAGAAAAAGAGGCTGGGGGATCGGTCTAGCAGCCAGGCAGGATCAAGGATTGGGTGAGTATATATTTTTTAATTTGAGCCCCTAGAGCCAAACAAGCCGTTAACCTTTGCAGTGTGGGGTATCCTAACTGCAGGGGTTAACTTTTACATTCCTGGAGTTCCTCTTTATGTATTGGCCTTAACAGTACTGACTCCTGAGAGGCAAAATCAAATACATGTTTTTTTAAATCAACCAAAGTCTAAAAACAGAGATAATATATTGCAGGTTACGAGCCCCTAGATATGGGGTCTGCCTTAGTTTTCATTTTTAGGCTAAGAACATTTTCAGCAAGTACAGAAAATGCCAGTCAATCTTGCCAGAAATGTAGTATCCTTGTCAGTTCCTGTAATCCAAAATGGAAACACAAACATCCTCCTCTTTCTTATGTAAGTCTCATGAGCTTACCGTGTGATGGAAATGAACAAAGGCAGAGCTGTTTGAAGTCCAGCCTGTGTGGCAGCCATGGCTCTCTCCATAGATGCAGTGGAGAGAGACAGGAAGTGTTACTGGCAGGATTACAAGGTGAAAATGTAGCCACCACATCTAAGGCCTGGTCGCTGCAATATAGAACATTTACGCTGTAAGTGCATGTAAAAACAAACTGCTGTCTGATTGGCTATTACAGACACTAGCTGCATTTGTCTTTTGTCTTTTTCTCCATTTTTGTAGGCCTCAGCCCCAATTTTATTAGAGTTACCGTACGTTTTTAGGTTTGCGCTCATTCAGGAGATGTTCAGGACACATCTCTTCCCATATTCCTGCCTGTAATATTTCTGGTCTGTGCTGTGTTGGTATTGATTTCCCTCTACTTTCCAGAGGAGGGTGATGACTCTTCTTGATGTATGCTGTGGCCAGGAAGTGACAGTCATATCTGCATCCTGTTTTTGATCCACTGTTGGACTGTCAGTACACACCATGTGGGGAATTCTAGCTGGGTAAATTTAGCCAGGCTGTACACAGATATGCACTACTGCAGTGATGCATGGGACATTTAAGAAAACAATGGAAGATAAACAATATCTTAATAAAAGAACAATAGAAGTTTCTAAAACAGAATTCCACTCAGAATGGATTTTTTGGGTCCTTTTAAGGTGTTCATAACCACATCGGGGAGATCTACACAAGACATTGTTCCGCAAGCATGCTGTATTACTGAGGAGGACACTTTCCTGAAGGTGCCCATACACCTTGCCATTATCATTTGATTCCTGAACGATAATGATCGGCCAGTTGATGGGAAGTGGACGATCATTATTACTGTACTTCTGGATGAATTTTGTCTATCGGTCAAGCGGGAAAACTTTTTTTGAATCGTCCGAAAATTGATGGATTGGCGGCGTTTTCGTACGAAAGAAATCGCAACATAAACACTGCACATGTACAAACCAGAACCCGTTCTGTCGATCGGCAAAGCCGTTTTACTTGCCTGACCCTATGCTCTGGCTTGTGGATTATTCCACAGCATGGCATCCTCGTGTATAATACAAGGCTATGGGGCCTTGCATTGTACTTGATGACGTCAGTGGTCCTCTGACCTCCAGAGCATAGGGGATCAAGTAAGTAAAAGTCCTTTTGCAAGGTACCCTAGAACTAAACAAGCATTTAACCCTTGCAGTGCTGGGGCAGCCTCAATGCATTTTCTGATTGTTATAGACGCTCTCATGAAATCTGAAATGTTGCCCATAACACAAAATACTTTTCAAGCACTCGATTAAATATGTAAACATCAGCTGACTTTAACAACTAAACAGAACCTCTTTTATCATTCATGATGTATCTGTGAAATGAGGGTCAATTACCACATTGTTTATTGTCCTCATGTCCTGAAGCAGAACTTGCAGTATGCAATTAACTACCGTATTGTTCCGTTTGTCCTCTACACAAGTGTTAGCTTGATTTGCTTTAGCCCAGTGGTTCTCTACCATGGTTTGCAGTCCACGCTTCCGGTCTGCTCCCAGTTACTACTGTCACATTCACTACTGGGAGCCATTGTCCCACTGATGCCAATGATTTAACACCAATCATTTGGGGAGATATTCTTTACCGTTGACCAATAGCCCACTGACACCAATGATTCGGGAGCTTTCTTTCTGGGGTTCACTGTCACCAATGATTTGGGGAGATATTCTTCTGTGTTGACCACTATCCCCCTGAAAGCAATGATTTAGGGGGCTATTCTTTTACTGGGAGCAAGTATCCCACTGTCATCAATGTGTCTACCTAAATTACATATTATCAATGGATTACCCCTTTTATTATTTTTAAATGCCATTTTGCATGCCCATACATTTATTGCATGAATATAAACTTTGTTTTATTTTTTTACTGTTGGGGCCTAGGTGGTTTTAAAAACATTAACCATGTTCTAGTCTCGCTAAGGTCGATTGAGAACCATTGCTTTAGGCTGACAGCCTCTGTTATACTATTGCTGTGCAAGATCTCCCCCTTGAGGTACAATCTACAAACTGCAAAACAATTGCGTTCTTTTACATTGGTCATAATATTTAAATAGGAGACTGGTATATATGAGTTGCTGAAAGATTGGCTGTTCATATTTAGTTAATACCTTCTTTTTTATGGATCAGGATTATTTGATTTATATTTTTCATTTTGTTTTTGTGTCCTAAATGGCACAGTGCCAACATAAGTCGCCTTTTAATTTGATTGACTTTCAGCATCATGTAGCGCTGCACTAAATGTAATGCATTGTGACACTGTTTCCCAATGCTGCGTTCATAATGAATAACTCTATTGAATATTTGTGTTGTCTTTAGAGGATCACATGCGAAAAAATAAGTACGGTTTTACTTCAGCTTCTATCTTTTATTTTCAAATGTAACTGAACAAACGGGAAAGCTGATTCTGTCCCTGTTTCGATAAATTCTCCCCAGTTTATTTTCGGCTTTCCATTCCAAAGCATGTGGTGTCAGCCCTGTCTACTTCATTTCTGATGGATTACAAAGTACACAGACCTCTGCTCCATCTCTTTCCCCCTCCTCATCCTCATTACTCCTCCTTGTGCACAGGCAGAGAGCGCAGAAAGTTATCAGCTCACAAGATTTCTGGCAACATTAACCTTGTATTTATTAAACAAATATTACACACTTTTCCAATGGTATATTTAGCAGACCAAAAGAGAGCAATAAAGAGAAGTCTAATGTTGAGGTTTACATACATTTAATAATCAGCAATACATGTGTTCTGCAACCTGCAGGACCTGCATAAGCTCTGGTGTTTTGAGGGCCAGTGAATGGAGTTGCATGATTGGCTGTGAGTTAGAGATATATGACATCACTAAAGTGTCCTGATTTGCCATCAGGAAAGTCCTGATAACCTTTAGGAAAACCTTTTAAGTTCTAAATAAATGGATTATTTTATGCAGTATGTAGGTATGCAGTATATAGGTATGCATACAGCCTATGTACGTTTCCCATATTATAGATTAGGGTGAGACTTCCTGTTTCAGACCTGTTATCTCTGCTTTGCAAAAGTATTCTTTAAAAAAATAAGATTGTGAAATTGATATTTCTATTTTAAGGTTTTGGAATATCCCTCTTGTGGCCATTTTAGGTTGCTCGGTTCTTTATATTTTTTGGGTTGAACTACCTTCTGCATTTCTATGGGATCAAGGGGTTAACTTTTTATATTCTGTATGCAGCACCACTGAAGGCAAAACTATTACCTTAACCTGAGCATTGCAATAGCATGCTTCGTGAGCTCAGAGCAAGTGTAAACAGAGGAATGAGGGTTATGAAGGGGGATTTCAAAGAAGTTCCAAACCTCAGGGGTCTAAAATTGTACAATGTTTTCCATGGAATGGGCCTTGCTGTCTTCACATATATTTTAGATGTCTTTGTGTCCAGGGTAAAGTAGTAATAATAGCAGAATTATCATTTTTATTTCTTCAGTTAAGACCGCCTTGAGCAGTAGTGTTCGTTATAGTAAAGATCCCACCCTTTTACAACTAGCCTTCCAGGCTTCCTACGATCTCTTAGGGTTCAAGATGCAAACCGCTTTAGACCCTTTGATAGGGGGGAAAGGTGAACTTGGTCTTTATGGGTACAAATTCCCTGTTCCAAATCCCTGCCTAAAGGTGCCCATACACCGATTTTCGTTCGCGATCGCGTTTTTGTCCGATATTCGTAAGGTTGATGGGCAGTGTACAACCGCAAAAACTGTACAATCGTACGATGTTCATCTTTCCAGAACACTAGAATACTTCGATCGATCGTCCGATTTTGGCAAGGTTGGTGGTGTTTTCGCACGTCAAAATTCGTACGATTAACACTGCTCATGCGCAAACCAAAATCCATGCGGTCTATTAACGAAATTCTTACGGTTCGATCATTGCAAGGTGGATGGGCACCTTAATACAGGATTGCCAATTGTCAGCATTTAAATAAGCTGTGTAAAAATGTAACGGTCTTGAGGCGCATGTCAAGCCCAAAACCTCTTTTTGCTAGTGTGAATATAGTGGGTAAGGATTAGAACTCATGTTGGGTTTTTACTACTCTCTGGGGTTCCATTATAGAGATTTACTCTCACTACCTGACCTATTGACAAAGATTTACCCACCTGGATTTGTGTTGCTTTTGGAGAGTTGTTCTCACTATCTGTCTGATAAACCATTCTCCTCAAGATGGGGAAAGTGATGGTAAATCTCTCTACCAGAGCCCTGGACAGCAATAGAAACCTGACTGGAAATCGAACTCTTTTCTACTCTGCAAGACTACAAGCAAAGGTTTTGCCACTTAAAAGCATATAACACCAAAAATGTTATATATTGCAGTTTCCCAATCTTAACTTTGATGGTTGTATTAGTTTTCTTTTTTTCATTTTTTTCTTTTTATTTTCACCTGGTGATCCGTCCAGTAACACACTTCCAGGCTCATGCTGGCTCCACTCTATGGAGGAGCAATGGAGCCACCCTTGGACATCAGCATTGTCCCCCCGGTGGAGGGGGTAGTGTTGGATCACTAGCAGATTTAGATGGACTTGACCAACAAATGAAATCTTAACTCTAGCTAACATAGTAACCGTTATTTTTTCCTTTTGGGATAAGAGATTTACATAAATGAATAAAAGTCAACCATTGTGAGCACTCCATCAATGGTAAAGGGTTTGTCTCAACCGTCTATCTGCCACTTTTGCTGGACAAGTTGGTCTGTTAAAGAAGAATTCTAAGCAGAAATATTCTAAACCCTTGCAGTGGGGCTACCCCCAAGTGCTTGTTTTCGTCTAGAGAGGTAAATAATTAAGATCTACTAACGTCTGAGATGACTGGCTGTCAGACCGGTCCCTGCAGCCTCACTCCTCCTCCTCTCTGGAGGCCTAAGATCCTGTTAGTCATCTTGTCCAGTACAGTGTATACGATATGAGAATGTCAAGGGACATACCATCGTTGGAGCATAGGAAGAGACAGCAGGGACTGGAGTAGCAGCCAGTTGGCTCAGAGGTTCAGGTGAGGATATGTTTGTTATTTTAATCCCTAGGTGAAAACAAGCACCTAACCCTTGCAGTGCAGGGGTAGCCCTACTGCAAGGGTTAACATTCTTTCTGCCCAGACCTCTTCTTTAAATTAAGTTGAAAAATAACAGACTTGCTGGTTAGTTAACAGGACAAAAAGCCTAAAGAAAATAAATGCAGCCACCACATCTAAAATCAGTAAGCTACAATATAATATGTTTTTGTATTGGGGTTTAGATGCACTTGAAGTATTAAAGTCTTTTTTTGCCATATATCTACTGCTAGTAAGCACCAGATATATGTCCCGACATAAAAATGTTTTAAAAAAGTGGGCCAAGTAACTTACCTGTGTCAGCGCTGCTTGCTCCCAGCTGCAGAAGTCCCGCCTCCCGAACACTGTGAAGGAGGAAGTGTGGGGGGCACATGTGCAGTCCAGATCGCTGGAGGAGAGCGACACTGAAACTCAATGGACGCAGCCAGGAGCATGCACGCCGGACAGACTCCGGGACAGGAGGAGTCTGCGCTGGATCAGAGACTGGCACCAGCACTGGGGGGACTATGTAAAACGAGTGGAAGGAGGTAGCTGTTAGAATCAAGAGGCATCACATAACGTAAGATCTTACAGCAGACACTTTAAACATTTACCTGTATTTATATGTATGTTAGCCGAATCCCCTCCTCCTAGCTAAGATATGTATCCTTACCTCCCACCCCCTCTTATCTCATTGTTGTCTATGTTTCTTGTTGGTTAAATCCAGCCCTGTAGATAAAATCAGAACTTAACGTTTCTGGCACTGAAGAAATTGGGCATTACTGTGGGGAGAATATCACTTGGTGTCACACACAATCTGCTGCTATACAGCGAGGTGTCAGGTTTATTTACAGTGGAGAATCATAGTCGTCTTAGAGAAAATACCAAATTAACACATGATTCTCTTTTTCCCATCATCTCACTTTTTCATCCTTTTTCTAACGAGTTGAGGATACACGTTGGAGAGTAAATAGAAAAATGTCACTATCTGGTTGACAGGCCTCTCTGCATTGCAGCTGGAACGCTTACTGGTTAATTTGCCTTGTTGGTGACGAGGTCTGTGTATGAGGACTGCTGATGCAAAGAACACATGGAGACTGAACTAGATACAAGACTGTTTTATTGATTGTGTGCACATTTCTAAAATGCATCTTACTGTCTCCCACCCTGTAAATATATGACATCTATACTATATAACATTTCAAAATGTTTTCACAGTCTGAATGATCATGGCCCTTTGCATAATTGATTTTCTTTTTCTGTTTTTATATCTTTCATTTAACTTGCTGTCTAACCTCATGTCTTTCTCCTGTTCTTCCTTCTGCTGCATTGGATGCAGAACGCGCCCCAGGGGTGTGCCTCAGAGGTACTGTGACTTTTTCCAGACAATGACCTCGAGTTCTCTCACTCTGTTTTTTTTTCAAGGACTAAACAGCTGAAATTTTAAATTAGGTTTACAGTGGGGGGCCTGCTTTATAATACTGATAAATATATACTTTATATACCGATTATAGGAGGAAGAGAGGTCTGACAACACACTTCTGTAATCTGCATTAGTAGTCCAGAGAGAAATAGAAGACAGCCAGGGCAGCCCTGTAACATGGCTGGAGCTGGTGAATCATGAGAGCATGTGGATTACATTACAGAAAATGTGGTCAGGTGCATAGAACCTTACCGTGTAGCTTGCTAAAGTTCCCTTTTAAAGTGAACTTTGTTTCACTTAAAACAATCTAATCTTTTGCTTTTATGTTAGTTAACTGGAAGGGACTACATGAATGGTCTAATGCCGTATAGAATGGCCTGAGTGGCTCAAACTGTAGGCTTTCAAATTTTAGCTGCCTTCTGTGGTCCATAACTCAGGTCTACCAACTCCTGCTTCCCAGTGACAGTGTGTCCATGCATGCGTTGTTTGGTCTCATTATCAAATATAAGACATGGGCAGGACTGAACAGTTGGCAACAGAGGCAAGGTTTATAATAGGTTCTATGTTTTATGGTTCTCCTCGAGGTATGTAGCCATTCATGAAGGCTTCTCTAGAATGTTTTATGCGAACACAGTGTCATTTTAAAGGGTTGGTTCAGCTTTGCAGTAAATAGAACGATGCAATCAAGGATACCCTGTGCATTTAAGAACGTTGTGTAGCTTTCAAATTTGTAGTTCGATTTAATTGCGGTACCTGTTGGCCCATCATCGGTTCCCCGCAGCTTTCCTGAAATCTACTACTGGGAACAATCGGAGTTGTCCTGCCCATTATCTGGGATGCCCTGTAGGCTGGGCGCGCCTCTAGCATCACTGTAGTGAGTGTTCTCCCTCCAAGACCTGTGCATACGCAGTGCTTCCTTTGTCACCGCAGAGGCTGAGGTCAGCGCTGCTGCAACAGGGGAGGGAGAGCACATCTACCATGCACAGGTCTTGAAGGAGGGAGAACATTCACTCCAGTGATGTGGTGGCTCGCCCAATGTACAGGGTGTCCCAGATCACAGGCAGGACAACACCAATTGCTCCCAGTAGCAGATTTCTGCCAGGCTGTGGGTAAACCGCTATGGGCCAACAGGTATTACAATGAAATTAAACTACAAATAAGCCAATAGGACTATTAATTAACCAATCTGGACAATGTCAGCCATATCATAAATTGTTACAGCGATGGCTATATAAGTAGCATACGAACAGACGGCACTATCCAGAGAATTCCAATACTTCAGACTTTATTCAAATTCACAGCAAATCCGGTATAACAGTGAACAAAGTGTATAAAGCACCAAATACCAGCACTGCACACCCCCAACCAACTACAACCTCTCACATGTTTCACCCACAGGCTTATTCACAGAGGACCTCTAGACCTTCTATGAATAAGACTGCGGGTGAAACATGTGAGAGGTTGTAGTTGGTTGGGGGTGTGCAGTGCTGGTATTTGGTGCTTTATACACTTTGTTCACTGTTATACCGGATTTGCTGTGAATTTGAATAAAGTCTGAAGTATTGGAATTATCTGGAAAGTGAGGTCTATTCGTATACTACTACTACTTTCCAAGGTGGAGACGCACCTATTAGACCAGCACCTGGGGAGTCCTAATAGTGGCTAAGGAATTGGAGCGGTGAGATTTCCTTTGGCTCTACGATGGCTATATAAGATCAGAACAGATATAAATGGCTGATCAGTTTTAGGGAACAGTTGATTTGCCTCATTGTAATTTCTCAGTCCTATTCTGTTGAAAGCAGGTACAGGGTGTGTCTGCTCTATGTATAGACAAACCTGCTCGTGTCCTGCCAGTTTGCAAGTCTATGCATGATTCTTTGGAGGGAAAAAAAAGATTTGGAGTCCTCCAACTGTAGACTGAAGAGGGCAGTCAGATGTCAGTAAGCAATTTCAATGATGAAAGAACTTTCCCATAGTAGATATATACATAAATGTTTGCTAATAGCATATGTATATGTTCACTGCAGAAATACCATTCGGCAGCAGTTCTTTGTTTGGGGTAATTATAGCTAATTGGCAAAAAAATCCAACCTGCTGGTTTAAGTTAGGCCCTGGATTTCATCTTTGTGACAGCAGGGAGTCTAATATGGCTGGAGATAAGAATATATTGCGTGTGCATTTGCAGGGTTGGGTTTTGGTCTTCCCAGGACAATAAATATAAGCAAGGTGATTTTAACTAGCGTCGTTCATTACAAAAATGGTGTCATTAAACACAAGACCGGTCACTGTGTCATCCTAAATTATGTAATATTGTGTCTTAGTTTTATAGTTGTCTAAAATGACTCAAAAATCTGGAAGGCAACATATTACTAAATATATACATGCCTCTAAATCGTCATTTTTCAGCTCCATTCAGAAAATGCTGTCTAGTGAGAGATATAGAGCAGGTGCACTAAAATATGGCTGTGTGATGCAGCATGCTCACCAAGGGTCACCATCAGTGTGTATCTAATCAGGCAGGCCCTTGCACTACATAGGTTTTGGTAGAGTTGAAGGAAATTGTACAATCAGTTGGTAACATGTGTGGTGAGCCCAAGACATGCCGTCAGAGAGGTTGTCATATTTGTGAGAGTGATATATATATAGTGTGTGTGTGTATATATATATATACACACACACACACACACACACACATACACTGAGTGGCCAGATTATTATGACCACCTGACGTTTGTAGGCAAATTAGCTATAATTTCGCGGTGAAGTTGCTAGAGGGCCAGACCATTATAAATAGGGAAGCAGGTTGTTTAACACGACAGTAGAAGTGATTTTTTTTTTGAAGATATGAGAAAACAACGCGATTTAACAGCCTTTGAACGTGGGATGATTGTTGGCGCTCGGAGCCATGGAGCGAGTATCAGCAAAACAGCAGAGTTCGTTAAATGTTCAAGAGCAGCTGTTGTTAAAGTGTTTAAAGACTGGACTGTCAGCCG